ACAGCAGAATTAGCCTCCAATACTCCATTCTAACCACTGTGCCACCATGGCTCAAAATAAGTACTTTAATTTTGGAAGAATTCAAGGATATTTGGCAACAATGTACTCAAAACTTTCTTTTAAGATTGTTATTTTAAAACAGATTCAAAAGAGATAGAAGATATAACTGAGAATCAGGCTGTTTTGAATAGGGATTCAAAATGACAGGTTACAGGAATGATATTGGCAAAAATATTACATATGATTTATGAAACTAGCACTAGCTGATATTTTAGTAGCTAAAAGGGACACACAAATAATAAATCAGAAGAGTGACGGATGGGTAGATTTTTAATTCAAAAGAGCAACTTAGACAACTCTTTTATTTTGGATTTACAAAAAGTATGTGTTATATTATGAAGAAGTTCCTGAGAAAAGATAAAGAGTGAATGAAAAGAAATTAGCTTTTGGGCTGTACTTAAGAGGAATAAACATCAAGACTCTTAAAAGCAAAAAAAAAAAAGAAAAGGATTATAAAGTTGGCTTCATATATGAATTTTTCTAGCAGTTTTTAACAATTTTTTTAACCAGGACTATATGATGATTTGTTTATACTGTAGATATGATATGGGATGTAGGGACTTTTTGTTGTATTTTGTATTGTATTGTATTTTTAGAGAAAATGATAAACTATGGTGTTAAAAACTGGAAGAAAATCTTTAAAAGTTTCTGGGAGGAGATGATGAGAAAGTGATAAGAAATTAATTTGTGGAGCATTATTTGAAAGAATTAAAAAAATATATTGTTTCTGGTATCTCTTAATGGAATTTTTCATGATTAAGTTTGAATGACAAACTTTAAAGATTTGTTTATAGATATACTGTATGATGTGGCATGAAGCAATTTTTTGTTGTATTTTGTTAAAAATGCTAAATTATAACTTTTTAATATGAAGGGATATGAAAGATATAACTATACACACACACATATATATATGTACTGTATATATAATATTCTGATAATATTTAAATGACTTTCGCTGATTAAGTTTGAATGATATAAAAGCAGCATAAATTATCATAATAAACCTAACTTTCCAACTCTTAGTTTCATATGAAAACTAGTAACAGCGCTAAGGAACATTATTGCACAATAACAGAAATTCATTTATACAAGGGGTGTCAAACTCAAGGTCCGGGGGCTGGATCCAGCCCATGGGGTGCTTAGATCTGGCCCAGGGGGTCACTCTGAAAACAGTGAAGAACCAGCCCATGGTGGCTCTGCCAGTGAAAATAGAGCTCAGGAGGGCCTTACACAGCCTGCCCGGGCTCCAGTTTTGATCGTGATGGCCTCCTGCAGCCCTCTGGCAGTGAAAAGGGAGGCCGGGAGGGCCACATGCAGCCTTACCATTTTCTCTGGCAGAAAGCTGCAGGAGGCTGTTGCAGCCAAAAATGGAGCCTTGATTACTGATGTTGACCCACCCTGGCCTCGCCCCTGGCCACACACACACCCGCCCCCTCGAGGTCAAACACAACTCTGATGCGGCCCTCAATGAAATTGAGTTTGACACCCCTGATTTATACAATTGCCTTTAGTACACTTAGCCCACAACAATGAAATACTTATCATCATTCTTAAATTATCTTTTAATTTAACGATTTTTGACCGAATAAAATGGGTGATGAGTAAGACACAGCCACATACTTCTGCTGAAGATGGAGCATAAGAGATTAAGGCCTGAGAGTTAAACATGAGAGTTTCTCACTTGGGCTACTGTACTTCTCTCCTGAAAGAATATAAAATGGTTCTTCTAGTTCTAATGCAAAAAAGAGCAGCATCTCTTTAAATTAAATGTAAAAAATACAAGCTATATGAATAACGAGAGCTATATGTGCTGCTAACACATTCACACCATACAGCGGCATTTTAACAGTGTGAAGATGAGATCTCTCAGTTCTGTGCCCTAAAAAGCAGCACGCTGTGAGGTACTATCACCCCTGACATTAAAAGCACCCTTGCTGCTCAACTGCTAGGTGCTTCTGCAAAGGATTTGAAAACACATATATCTCCATAGCCAAAGGAAGCAGCAGAACTGATAGTGCCAGACACTGTGTGGAATTCACACCAATATCCACATCTATATCTACATCTACATTTATATCCTGTGTGTGTGAAAGAGAGACAGAGACAGAGAAAAAGAGAGAGTGCCATCTTTCTCTCAATAGCCAGAGCAAATTTTACAGAGGCCAAAAAGTTATCTGTATTGATAGGCCTTAAACCTAGTTCTCTAGCCCCAAAAACAGCAAGACAGTATTGACCCTGTATCCATAAGAGAACTGGAATTATAGAAATATTACGATGCTAAATGCCTGAAAGAGTAATACTGTTTCGTGTTACAGCTTGGATTCAAAGTCCTCTATGTTCAAAAATGCTGCAAAGAGAGATATATATAAAGAAATTAGATAACCATTTATCTGGAAGGTATAACCTCCTGACTGAGTAGGAATTTGGACTAGAAGACCTCCAAGGTCCCTTCAACCCTGTTTTTCTATATTCTACATTCTATGTTCTTCCACAATATGCTGTCAGGTTGGTGGTATATTTTAAATTCAGCTCTGTTTTCTTGCCTTTCTCTTCCCCCGCCCTCTCTCTGTATACTGCATATTTTCTGAACTCAGAAAACCATTTTCTGCATTAGAGGGGGGGGAAAATCCCTGAGAGCAACATTAAACTGAAGAATGACAACACATGTACATTCTTCAAAATCCCAATAGAACAACATTTTTTATCACTTGCTTAAAACAGCGTAAAGTCAATCTACCTCCTCTGCAACAATCAGGGTGCCGTTATCAAAGATGCCCCATTTTTAATTCCCAACAATCTAGTCTAATTATAGATTTTCCAGTGAGGATTGTAAATTATGGAGCATTCATGAAGATAACCCTGTGCATCCTACACACAATCTACGAATATGTGGATCAAAACCAATCCTTTGATTTATGCCAAAAATGAACCACAAGCTTGAAACTGTATCTACAGACAGTTAGTTACTGCAATTTCTATGAGGTGTAGTTTTAGAATGTTTTCAAGGGCGATCCCATGTCCTACATTATTCTAAATAAGAGGTGATTAAGGTATGAGTCATTGTAGCCAGATCCTTTTTCCCCAAATAGTGTGCAGCTGGCAAATAAAGCTATGCAAAGGCGTTTTCAACCATTCAGACTGAAGGAATCCAAAGTCATGTGCAAATTGGAAACCTGACCTTTCAGAGATACTGCTGCCCTAACTTGAATGGGTTGAATTCCTCACTACCCTGTTAGTTGGTCTACTGTTCAAGAGAATTTCCTCCATGCTGGGGTGAGCTTCACTTTCTTCCCCATTTCTAATCCTTCACTGCATTGAAGGTACAGTTCAAAGATTCCACCTTAGGCTCCTTAGCATCATTTCAAATGATACAGAATTTGCTGTTATTCAGTGCATTGTTATGATCTAATCCCTGATCTATGGATAAGATTCCTCAGTATCTTCATATAGAAATTTTAAAAACAGTACAATATACACTGTAGATCTAAGAAAACCTACAGGAAAGAAGCAAGAGTTTTTACTGCATCATTCTTCTCAAAAAACTGAAAAATAGTGTCTACATCTAGTATCAATAAGAATTCTCAAAAAGTTTCTAGTCACTGATTATATGAATTGCTGTTGAAAATTCCATTAAAACTATGCCCAGTTCCCAGCACATTCAGTCTGTAAAATATCTATGGTTGTTTTTTACTCTGCTGGCTGAGCTAGAATTCAAATTGAAGAGTTCTGTATGATCATATTCAAAGAGAGTCAGTTTGGTCTAGTAGTTAAGGCTCCAGGCTAGAAACTAGGAGTCATTGAGTTCTAGTCCCACTTTAGGCATGAAAGCCAGCTGGGTGACTTTGGGCCATTCACTTTCCCTTAGCCCATCTCACTTCACAGAATTGTGGTTGTGGGGAAAATAGGAGAAGGAAGAAGTGTTAGGTATATCCTCATAAAACTAATAAAGGCATGATATAAATAAATGAGAAGATTAAGATCCAGAATGATCCAATATAAGACAATTTAGTAGGAGAAATTGGAATGGAAATAAGCAATGGCTAAAAGAGGATAGAAACAATATTTTCATCTTTTTGCTAATGATCTCTAGGAATGGATTCTGGAGAATGGATAGAGGCATATCTAAAATAATGCTTATAACTTTCTAGTTTTCTTTTAAATCATAGGCCTATAGTATGTATATAACAGAATTTTCTCTTTTAAAATGTTTGTTTACTCTTTCCATTAGCAGAAATCTTTGATGAATGGATTGAAACTCTTTGGATCTCAATTTTATCTTTAAGGGACTTTTTCCCCCAAACATATATGAGTGTTTAGATTTTACAACATTATTACATTTTACAAGTTAGCTATGTGTTGCTATTTTTTTATATTGAATATTTCTCTTGTGCCTATTTTAATCATGACATCATAAAAAATCCCAAAGTACTTTGAGTGATTAATATAATATGCATTCAGTGACTTATCTTTATCTAACCCAGCCTCACTAGGTGACGGGATGAGATGGGAAGACATGCTAGTAAGAAGACTTTCTCTGTTCCTTCTGCTATCAACCTGAATTGACAGTGGGATAAAGTTGTAGAAAACCATTAAGAGAAAAGTTCTATATGATCTTTTCATAAACTTTGTCCTTTAGATGGAAGTCATATAAAAGAGAGGGCTAATTTAATTGACATAATTCATGAGTTGGGAGCATTTTTAAAGCCACCAGCTTTCATTATGAGCAAGCTCTGATGGACCACATTTTGGGAACTGGGAGATCTGAAGGCAAAAAATGGTATGCTGCTTAATCTGGAGTCAACTCCAAATCCAGAATCCTCAAACTCCCTGAAACAAACAATATTCCATACCATGATTAAACAATCACAAAGAACAAGTTTAAAAGATTTGCAGGGACAAAGTGGAAAGTGATTGATAAATAAAAATGATGCATTTACCTGGATCTTCTATCGACAAATTCTTTGTTAACCACTGAACAATGTCTGAACCTGGGAAGAAAATTATAATATAATTAAAATGCACTTGCTATAAATTAGCCACAATTTACTGCCATTTTAAAAGCAACACAAAAGTTGGCTTTCCCGATAGATTTGTTTATTAATATATAATATAAAGATGCAACAAGTGGGTTCTGATAGCAGTTTAATGAATACTACAAGTATTAGCATTTTTTAAAATAATAATCCCTTACTGAATTTGCTAGCTGCTGCCCTGAAAAACATAGTCCCCTGTAGATTGAATAGTTTATCACTATAACAAAGGGAAAGGCCCAGCCAGTCTTCTGAACTTCTCCAGACTGCTGGAAACACATCAGTGTTGATTTTGGAGGTGGGGGTTGCATTAGAGAGGAGACGGAAAAGTCTCTTTAACTGTGGAAGCACAGTTAAAAACTGAAGAGCAAACTTTACATATTATTGAATCCCCATAGAGATGGAACAGTTCAAACAAATAAATAAGAGAAGCCAGCCTCACTTTGCTCAGAAAGGATCAATAATTACAAAACACCTTCTGAAAAAACCTGTTGTCTAATAATCTAACTTTTCTAGCGAATCACATAACTATGTCTCTGATCATGATGTTTAATTATTAGCAACAATCTGTGGAAAAGGACAGTCTTTAATTTATCCAATTCCTAAACTGTTTCAGGGAATTTAATCCAGATCATGTTTTATCTTATTTTACTGGAGTGCAATTCTTGTCTCCTGTAATGAAGGCTATATTCAGTGGTGGGTTGCCCCCCCAGTTCGGTCCAGTTCTATAGAACCGGTAGTAAAACTGACGGGAGGCTCTGCCCACCTGCCACGATGTCATCATGGGTGATCTGTGCATGCACAGAAGCGCGTGCACACATACAAGTGAAGCAAGCAAGCACGCTCCTGTTGCGAACCAGTAGTAAAGATAAGTAGAACCCACCCCTGGCTATATTGTACAAATGTGAAAAAGATGTCTTTAATTCACTATAACAAATAAAGACACCTTTGAGTTGTGTTCAATTCCTAGTGCTAAAGAGTTTGTAACATTAACAGAAGGTTATATTAGGTTACATTAACAGAATTGTGCTAGTCTGAAAGTACATCTCTTCCCCCTCACATTTACGGGCCAAGAAATTAGAAATGGTCCCTTCTGAGACATTTGCCATGGCCCCATTCCTTTGCATCTTTTACACTGGAGAACTCTCATTTCACAGATGTCATGAAATATTCTAGTCTGTTTTTCTCATATATCTGAGATTTTTATCTATGTATTAGCAAACCATGTAATCTGGGTTTTTTTTAAAAAAAAATAGCTCATTATCAAAATATGTAACACAAGCTTGGCTAAAAAATCTCCCCCAAATTTTCAAGTCTTCTTTCAGTTATACTCTAATTCAAACCTTGATTATGTAACCACACAATAAATAAGGAAGCAAGAATATATAGTATGATTACTAAATTGTTACAGAAGTGTCAACCATTTCATTGAAGATAAGATAAGCTTTCCTTCAAGGCACATAGTTGAAAGTTATGATTTATTTTTACAACTATAATTTCTGTGATAGCCCGGGAATCAACTTAGTGTATCTTTTTTTCACAATGAGGAAGCAGAAAACTAAATGTATTTCCTGCATTTCATTTGAAATAGTGTCAGGTGGGTTGCCCCCGGTTCGCACTGGTTCTATAGAACCGGTAGTAAAACCGGCAGGAGGCCCTGCCCACTGACCCTGACGTCATGAAAATGCTTCTGCGCTTGCGCAGAAGAGCACGCAAGCACACGACCCCGTTACAAACTGGTAGTAAAGGTAAGTAGAACCCACCCCTGGTGTCAACACACCCTAACATTTGTCCGTACATACTTGAGGATGTATCACAAACTGAGTGGTTGATTGCTTTCCATCTTCCCACTGGTATCTGATTAGAAAAGATACTTGAACTAAACTTATCTTGCTGTTGTCTAAAACTCTCCTTCAATATTTATTTTGAAAAGGCATCAGCTTGATTACTGGAGATGCTGAGAACGCTGAAGGAGAAAAACCATTTTTTATGAACAGGTACAATGTTTCTGTAGCCTTAAAGAAAGATTTCTTTTAAATTCAGTATTTTTTTAGGTAACTCTTTGTTTTTGGCTAGATTTAAAGTGCTAAGGCACTTCAATTAGTCCAGAGTTTGCATGTTTATTTTTAGAATATGTGCTATAATTTCTTTTCCCCCCCAGAGGCAGTCCAACTCCTGTGTGCTAACTGAGTGCAAATTTTCACAGCTAAGTTGCAAAGAACTCAGCAAAGGAGGGGTGGGGGGGTAGCCTGAGAAACACAATAACTAAGTTGCAGAGGCTATTCTATTAGCCTTCATTAACGGTGTCAAAACAGTGCCATGTTTTCACATTTTCTTCTGTCTTCTCAAGTTGTATCCCACACATAAACTAAACTAATCTCCATCTCTAAAAAGCATCAGTAACACTCTATAATTTGCACAACAGTAACCTCTTCCATAACATGCTAACAGCTGCTTGTGACTGTTAATGTTCCCAAAACAGGGAGTTTTAATCACTCAAGGATAACTTAACAAGTGGCATTTGCACTGATAGCTCTTCTTATGCCAGAGCAACTTCTAAATGACACGATGTAAAAGCCAACCATCATAAAGGAAAATACATCATTGAAGAAAAACTTTATTAATAATCAAATATTCAAACATGTCACAGAGTAACTAATAATTAGGATTGAGAATATCTGGGATAATTTCAGCATGACTTCTTTGACTCTCTAAGTCACTAAAGGCTGAATCTGTCAGGCCAAAAATCTGTTCATCTACCCTGCTTTGATGACCAGCAGTTCTGAGAAGATCCCAGAAACTTACGTACTAAAAGGCTTTGTTCTATTACTGAGTTACGGTTTACATATTACTAAACATCTTTTAATTATCTCTTACAGTTATGTTTTTATGTACCAGTATCTTCGTTTATATTTCTCTTTTGGTACTTGCATTGCATTCCAGATAAATTGCAGAGAATCCAAAGGGCCATTTGGTCTCACTACAGAGTCACCAATCTCAATAGTACGCAGGTTCTGGATGCTTTACAGCTGTGGCAGAGCCATCAATTATTACATTTACTATCTGGATTTGCATAAAAGGTTGCACCATCTTTGGAAATGGAAGCAATTTTTTTATTGGAATGGAAGAATAGTTTTATAACTCTTGCTATTTTCTTGACTCTTAAATTTAAGAAAAAGTGATAAGTATAACAAAGATTGGATATTTTAAATATAGAATGAATCTGGTCAATTTTCTTGTGTATACATTTTTGAATGGTGTTTAAATGTTGTTTATCTCTATGTCCCTGTTGATGGCTTGTTAGAATGCCAAGCTTCCAGGGATTCTCTAGTGTTTTTAGGTTTAGCTTTGTCTAGTTTTCCAGGTAAAATTGTGGTTGATTCTGTCCATATATTGTGAAGTTAAGGCAGTTTCATTGCTTTCTCATTGCTGATATTTATTGAATGTGCTCTGCTAGTTTTCTGCCACTTGTTATAGTGGCTGTTACAGTCCTGTAGATAATTCATGTTTTTTCTTCTTTGGCTGCTGGGTCTCTTGGTTTACTTAAAATGTTTGGGAGGCCTACAGTTAGTTTGTGTGCTATGGTGATGCCATCTGTTGTTTCTGAGAGGTAACTGATGTATGACAGTGTTAACTTTTTCATAGCTTGTATTGGTTGTGCTGTAGTGCATTGAATGGTGAGGCACTTTTCATGAAGAATCTATTGGGCCTGAAATGTATTAAGGAATATTTATGTAAAAGCACTGAAATTGGATCTTTGGATCAGTTTGTTTTGTTTTCTGCAACCAATGATATATTTCTTCCCCCGCTGCCCCCCCTCCAATGAGACAAGACTGATAAGGTTTTCAACACTGTACGCCATTGAGTTCAGTGGATCTTAACTGCATTGAAAATATGATGAGTATAGACCAACATGTATGTGTATGTTAAGGAGTACAACTTTACAGAATGGCTAGGTTAACTTTTGTTTTAACCATTCAGTTGTGTCTGACTCTTGGCAACTTTATAGGCAAGGGCTCTCGATGCTACCCTATCAAGATCTTAGTATCAATTTTGATGTTATCAAGCCAGCATGCTCTTTGCTTGACCCTTCTTCTTGTTCCACTAACCATTCCTAGCATCATGGACTTCTCCAATGAATTTGCATGTGTGACATGGCTAAAGTAAATCAAACATACTATTGTGATTTGGCTAGTGATGTGTCTGGTTTTATATGATTTAGCACCTCTCTATTGGTTGTTCTGGCTGTCCATGGTATACACAATAATTCACACAAGCATCACAGTTGAAAGGCATCAATTCTTCTTCAATCAGCCATTCTTCGTGTCCAACTCTCACAGCCATACATCATTATAGGGAAGACTATTGTTCTAACTTGCCTGTGTTTTATATTAATATCAAAATATCTGTTTTTCCAGATCTTATTCTTGTTAACCATTGCAGTACAACCTAAGGTTATCTTGCATTTGATTTCAGGGGTAGAAGTGCCATCGTGAACAATTTTTAATCCAAGGAAGATAAATTCTTAAAGTAATTCAATTTCCTCCTTAGGCTAGGTTAACACAGCATGATAAATTGTAGTTTGCTTTCACATTTCTACATCAGGTAAAACTGGCTAGGTTTACAAATCATGTTACGCTCTAACAAGCCACATAGCTGGATTTACTCACTTATTTTACTTCCAGTATTTCTATTCAGTAATGTTTTTATTTTTTTAAAAAAAGTAAAACAGTTTATATCAGGTGAAATGACAAGCTTAAGAAAACATAAAAACAAGACAGTTGTTGAAATAATAAACATTTCAACCAACAACTTCAGTAATTAATAAAAAAAAATAATGAGCCTGGTTAGATGAATGATTGCATGGAGAAAGAAAAATTTCAAGGCCATATTTTGTTTCATACACAACAGGTGAAGCCAAATCATATTCTGGCTCCCGGTGTTAACTAGACTGGAGA